TTTCAAACCCGAGTTATGATTTTCAATTAATTTGTGCCTTATAGTTCTCTTAATTAATGTGTTTAATCCATTGATTTATATGTTTATTTTGTTATTCTTGATTGTTTAGGTGTACAACTAAATGATTAAATTGTTGCAATGAATGCTATTTTGAGATTTATAGTACGTAATCGCTATTTATTCTAAAACCTAGTGGCAATTACATTTCAATGGATTATGAGGAATTTTCAATTGATTGTATGTGGATTAACACTTAAGTAAACCGAGCTTGTGAGTTTGCCCTTAATTTAATTCATCTCTTTTGTCGTAATGCTTTTGTTAAATTAAATTTAGAGAGCTTACTCTAGGTTGTTTAAAGAATAGGGTTGAGTAAAGAGCTTGTTTTATTCAACTAACATGAAAGAAGAGGTTGAGATAATTGAGCTTGTAATTATTCTCGAATTGTTGTTAATCTAGAGAACGAAAATCTATTGTGTAATTGATATGAAAATCATTCTCGTGGTAACGAAATATCCCCCCAATCACATCTTCACATCTTTGATTTAAAAATTACTTTGTTTGTTTCCAAATTCAAGTATTTTCTATTTTGAATTTATTGCTTTCCTTAGTTCAACAAACCAAACCCCCCCCTCATTTAATCACTTTAGTATATAATTATTAAATTTAATTTCTAATTTGCAATTGATTAAATTGAAACAATCCTCTGCGGGAAATGACCCTTACTTGCCATATTACTTTTTAAGACGACACATTTAAAGTTAAGTAAGGAAATTAGTTGGTACCTCATTTCGAGCGTATCACCTATAATAGGAGACGAGACACGGCTTTCTGTAGGACTCTGCTGGATTCCTGAATGTATACTTTCGGCTCTTTGAATCCTTTTTTTTTCCGGGTTGGGGTATATACCAAAATGCTCGTTTGATAATTTGTTGTCTGGTTTTGTGCAGATGCTACTGATAATTGTGTTCTTGCTGAAAAACACTTTTGTAGTATTGCAATGTATAATTTTCTTCATTTTTTTGACATCTCCGGGTACCATATATTTCTGCTTGGTTAGGAGTTTTCCTTTTCCTCGCAGGCTCGCAGGCGAGCGTGAGTTGCATATACTATGTATTTTACACTTACAGATAAGGTGCTTTGTTTCAAAACAAGTTGGATCCTGTGAACAGGTAATTTTTCGAAAACACAAATGACCCATCATTACTTATTGAAGCCTTTCGGGTATAATATCATTTGCAAATGTCATCTCTCCATTAATATATAGCCCTCTTTCAGGTGACTCAAATTATTTTTTGTTGTAATAATGAAAACTGTCTATTGCGAGCTTACACCTGGGCCTTTTTCCAACTTTACTTTGTCTGAGGGAGCTCCATTCCATTTCCCTGTTTTCAGTATTAAGTGCATTCGACTTGCCTGGGTGAGGACAATTACTTCACAGGCTAATAGTCTTTAAATGGCATCAGTTCAAACTTCAATTACATTGTTAACTGAAATGTACACTAACCACTCGTTTTTATATGCAGTTTGTGGGTATTAGCATTGTTGCATATTTCTAGAATTCTGTAGACTAACTTGAGAAACAAGAAAAGTTTAGGGGTTAAAAAATTATCTAGAATTCATTAAAGGTTATTAGGAAGCAAGCAAAATCAAAATATAAAATAATGAAAGTATCAGAAAATTCTAGAATTACTTAAAGACCAAATAAGATAAAATAATGAAAAAATAAAATCAAAATATAAAATAATGAAAATATCAGAAAATTCTAAAATTCTATAAGGACCAGGTAACATAAAATAAAAAGAATTTTCTAGAGGCAAGCCACCAACTTTTGTATGCTATAAATAGGGGTTGCCACTTCAATTGTTGGGTGTAGAAGTCTAAAAACATTGCCATTGTAAAAGTCTATTTTTTAATAAATTAAAATTTCCTCCAATTATCTCGTCTAATTTAAAATTATTCCATACTATTTTTTTCCTACAAAATATACTTCACATAAACCACCAAACATTTCCAATCTAATTTACTTATTTCTCCTACCAACTATAAAATATCATCAGTGGTATCAGAGTTTCGTTCGATTAATATTGAGCGTAAGCACATACTATGGTTGACGCTTTCTGTTCATCAATTCCTATCACAACATTTAATGGAGACAACTATGATTTCTGGTCCATTAAAATGAAGACCTACTTTTGTACGCAAAATTTATGGGATGTCGTCAACAATGTTTATACTAACTCAGATGACATTCCACTATACCTACTGCACAAAAGAAGGAACTTAAAGATGGGCGTAAGCATATACTATGGCTGATGTTTTCCGTGCATCAATTCCTAACCCAACATTTAATGGAGACAACTATGATTTGTGGTCCATTAAAATGAAGACCTACATTTGTACGCAAAATTTATAGGATGTCGTCAAAGAGAATCAATAAAAAGATTCTCTAGCATTACTTGCTTTACAAATGAGCTTGACGACACTTATTTTCCAAGAATTATGAGAACTAAAATGGCAAAAGAAGGTTGTGATAAACCGAAGGAGGAGTTCTACGGCAGTGATAAGGTACGTACTTGTTGTCTTCAAACTTTAAGAAATTTTGAAAAATTAAAAATGAAAGATTCTGAAACTGCAAAAGATTATTATTCAAAAATAAATAAAATTGAAAATCAACTAAGATCTTATGAAGATGAAGTTTCTGAAAAGAAAGTTGTTGAAAAAATTTTAATTACTTGCACAGAAAAAAATGATCCAATTATTACAACTATTGGGGAGTCTAAAGATATAGATTTGCATAATTAATGGGTTCATTGGAAGCTCGTGAAAAAAAATTAGAAAGATGTTATGAAATTAACATAGAAAACGTTTTTCAATCTAAAATTAATATGCAGTTTCAAAAATCTAAAGGTGGGAGAAAATTTAAAGAAAATTCAAAAAATAAAGAAACTCAAGGAAAAGAAATTGATGATAACGCTCTATGTGACGTTTGTAAAAGAAAAAGTCATTTGAAAAACGATTGTTGGTTTAAAGGAAAACCACATCGTCGTAGCTGTAAAAACTTTGGACATGAAGAAAATTTTTGTCGTTTTAAACAAAATCATCAAGTTAATTTCTCTGAAGAAAATGATATAGAAGGAAGTCTATTTTATGCTTCCAACAAAGATATATCCGACGAGAAATTAGATGCATGGTATATAGACAGTGGCGCAGTAATCACATGACGAAAGATGAAAGTATTTTCGCAATCTTAATAAAATAAACACAAAAATAAAAATTGGCAATGTAAATTTCATAGAAGCAACAAGCAAATGCATTATTGTCATTGATACAAAAGGGGCAAGAGATACAGTTCTCTTGGTCCCTACAATAGATCAAAATCTACTGAGTGTATGTCAAATGATGAAGTGATATACTTTACATTTTGAAGGAGATTCTTTCACGATTTATGACAAGAAGGATAAATCCCTTGCAATTGCAAAAATCAAAAATCGAGAGAATAGATGCTTCCCAATCCAATGGAGATACGCAAACAATACGATAATGACGGCACAAGTAGACGAGTCATGCCTGTGGCACAGGAGATTTAGACACTTCCACTTCCATGGGTTGAAGATCTTCAGCAAAAGAGCATGATGAGAGATTTACCAGTAATAAAGGAAACTAAAGAAGTTTGGGAAGGATGTTTGCTCAAAAAACAACACTGTCAACCATTTTAGTCCGGAAAATCTTGGAGAGCTAAAGAGACGTTGGAACTGATACATACATCTACAGTCCGATACATACTCCATCATATGCTTCATTCTCTTTATAGATGATTACACTAAAATGACATGGGTATACTTTTTGCGCTAGAAATCCTAAGTTTTTGAGATTTTTAAAAAGTTCAAAAGCTATGTCGAAAAGCAAAGTGGTCGCAATATCAAGACAATCAGAAGCGACAGAGGTAAAGAATACACATCAAATAAATTCAACAAGTTTTGTGAAGATGAAAGAACGGAGCATCAACTCACCGTTGGATACGCACCGGAACAAAACGACGTGTCAGAAAGAAAGAATAGAACAGTAATGGAGATAGCTAGAGCTATGTTAATGGAGAAAGGTCTTCCAAAAACCTTTTGGGCAGAAGCAGTAAACACTGCAATCTACTTATTAAATCGATATTCGACCAAAGCGGTGCAAGACAAAACACCAGTTGAAGCATGGAGTGGACGAAAACCATCGGCAAAGCATCTTGGAGTTCTCGGCGGCATCTGCTACACACATATTCCACAAGAGAAAAGAGGTAAGAAGATGGAACAAGGAATCTTCCTAGGTTATAGAGCACTCAATTTAAAAGCTATCGAGTCTATAACCTAAGAACTAAGAAGCTAATTATAAGTCAGGATGTTAAATTTGATGAAGATGCTGCCTACAACAGGGAGATTGGTCAAGTAGAAAGAAAAGCTATCAGCATCATAACATAACCACAAAAACAAAAGGGTGACGTTGAGGAGAACAATCAGTCAGAGTTCCCATAAGCAATGATAGAAGATCCAGCTGACTCGCCAGAATCATCGCCAAGAAAAATACGAAGATTATCAAAAATATACCAAAATTGCAACATAATGATCGTTGAACCTGAAAGCTATGAAACAATTTCAAAACAACCAGAATAGAGACAAGCTATAGATGAAGAAATAAAAATGATCGAGAAAAAGGACACTCGGAAGCTTGTAGATCTTCCTTAAGATAAAGAAGTCATAGAAATTAAATGGGTCTACAAAACAAAACTTAATGTTGATGGCTCAATTCCAAAACATAAAGCAAGACTAGTCACTAAAGGATACTCACAGTAGTTTGGCAACGACTACTGAGACATTTGCTCCAGTTGCACGTCTTGACACAATAAGGGTGCTGATTGCACTAGCCGCATAAAAGAAGTGGAAGATTTACCAGCTAGGCGTCAAATCAATTTCTTAATGGCTATTTTGAAAAAGAAATTTATGTTGAGAAACCTCAAAGACGCGTGGTACAAAGTAAAGAAGATAAAGTTCTCAAACTAAAGAAGACACTATGCTGATTAAAGCAAGCTCCACGAGCATGGTACAACAAAATAGACAACTACTTCATTGAGCAAGGATTCAAGAGGAGTCAAAGTAAACCAACATTTTAAAGCAAATTGGGAAGAAATAAAATTATCTGAATAACATTGAAAATAGCATTATATGTAAAAATTACTTTTTATTAGTGCAAAACAACTAGGCTATCAGAAATGTCCTGTATGCAACATTATAATCACAATAGATAAGATCTCATATTGTCCATTCCAGCATTGTTTAATCCATCTTGTCAAGTATGCTAGCAAGGTTTTATTATGGGAAGTACGTTTTATGAATGATGAAGACATTAAAATCACATTGTACGTAGAATTTTCTTTGGATCACTTATCACCTGCACGTAGAATTTGAAAAATATCCGCACTTAGCCGCCAACTCCATAAAATACGTTAATGCACTACAGATCTATACCAGAACATGAAGAAAGCACAAATAAAATCCTCTAACGCGGGCGAAATAACGGTAAAGAAAAGGGTAAATGTAAAACAAGGATATGGACATATGGTAATGTAGTTAACACTATGCATCTAGCTACACATAGACCATGAGATTTTGTATTTTCCATGATTTACTTTTGTAACAATAACTCCGTGTATACCGCTTGCATATCATAGGGACAATTCGAACTACAGTAAGTGCTCAGTTCCACTACCCACAACACACTTCAAAAGGCATTGCAACAAATAGAGATTAGCTTACAGGCCTTCTCATGTGACGGGTTCCTAGTTCCTTGCATCGTTCTATTATACATGGTAGGTCGATTTCCCAATACTCTACGTCTCTATCCTATTGCAAGTTGAGAATATTACCTACATTCTGGTCCTTTTACAGATGATCAATGTCTTCAACTTTCTGAGGCTGGGAGCCAACAATCAGATTTTCAGATATCACTGTATAGTTCATTCCTGAAGCAGAAATGTTTTTATCACATTCCTTATCACAACCTAGACATTATATGGTGCTACCTTGTTGTATGCTCTCAAAATGTTGAAGAGTTCTAATCTTGCTGAAAAACATCTAACTTAGATAACCATGAAAATCTCAAAAATGTTGAATGAGTTGTCATTTTCTGGAATTTCATTTTTTAAGTTATCATCTCTTATCTTCATTATGATTGACCTTAACGGAACAGTAGTTTATCTAAAAAAAGACATAATACTAGAATTAGTTTAAAATCTTTCATGTTTCCTTTTTCTTTTTCGAGCTTAGGGTCAAACGGATGGGATTGCTTTGGTTTGTTTAGAACTCGTAAATGCTTGGCTTGAG